TTAGACACTTTAAGTATACCTATATTGAGTTTAAAGACTAAAATATATTTTTTCCGTTGATTTTACTTAACTCAAGTAAACTAATGGTTTAGATTGAAAAAATAAATTAAAAGATTAAAACTTAAATTAACAAAATTGAAAGTTCAAGATTTATTTTATTATAAGAATTAAACGTTGGAATTTTATTTTATTTTATTTTGTGTAATTACCCCCAAATTTATTGTTCTAATAAGATGATGGCATGATAGAAATATAAGCGGAAGAGGGTTTGCAAGATCATATAAGAAGCTTTTTTTTAAGCCCTTTCTCAACTTAAAAGCCTAAGCTAGAGCTAACCACAAAAATCATAAAAATCTCAAACTGGTCCAATCTAAGCCAAATTGTACGAGTTTAAGAAACTTTTAGGTAGCGTTTGGTAGAATTTTAAAATTATGATTTGAGAATAGAGTTGTATTTTGAGTTTGTGAGTTTTAAAATTATGATTTGAATGTGAAAAATTTGTTTGGTTATGAGTTTTGAATTGAATTTTTGATGTGACATATGATATTTGATTCAAAAACTTACAACTCATAACCAAACACACAATCCAAAATTATATTCAAAGCTCATAAAAAAATTTAAAAAAATCCCAAATATTTTTTATTTAAAATATAAAAATAACAGGTGCAAAAAAAAAAACACGAACACTGTTCTGGTCAACCGGCCGGACGTTGGGCATTACATTGAATCATGTTCTAATGAAGAACTTCAATCAAACAAATTTTCTAACAGTTAACAAAAATTAATCCATTATTGATCAACTATAACCTTTCAAAGAGAATTCAGAAATTCTGCTCAAAAAAAAAAAAAAGAAAAAAAAAGAAGAGAATTCAGAAATTCCATATTAAAACCACCCTAATCCACTCCATGAAACAACAAAACAAGTTGATAAGTTCACCAAATTAGGTTTGCATTTTCTTTTCATTTTCACTTGCTTCAACGTTACACTGGGCAGCTTGCAAACAATAACAATATTATAAAACAAATATTCAAATCCCAAGATCTATTTTCCAACAAGCATAACATACGAAGATTAAAGGATGCATTTGAACATCAGATATGGTGTATTATGGATCCGTTGGGAATAGATTATTTTCGTAAAAGAATATGTTTAAGACTCACATAAAATTTTATGTACTCACAATGATATAGTATCATATGTGTCAATTTTGATTTATTACAAATCCAATAATATAAAGCCTAACACCCTTGCCAAATCATTATAGATGAATTATTTAGTAAAAAAAATTATTAAAAAATTGTGATTATTTCACAATTACCAAGTGCTTCTCGGGCACGTGATAAGCAGCAACCAATAATACTTTATTTCATGATTCTTGAAATTTGTTCAATTTTAAATAATAGGTTAAGAATACCAAACTATTACATGCATCTAATTTAATTAATGAATAAATTACACTTTGCACCCTTGTATTTTATACCAAATTTCACTTTGATCTTTACACATGAAATTGTGGCAGTCAACTCCTGCACTTTTAGTCAATTGTCAATATCTTCCTTTTATTACTCTACTGTATAAATCTTTAATAAAAATAATAATATAATAAGCACATGACTACGGAGTGTAATTTACCCTTAATTAATAAAAATAGAAAATTATTAAATTCAAGAAAATTTAATGTAATATTAAATACGCAATAATAATTTAACATTAGACCGTTACTAAAATCAAGAAAAATTAATACTATCCTATTTAATAGAATTAGGGTGCCTATTGTCCTGATAAAGAAAAAAATAAAAATTAGGGTGCCTATTGTATATGTCAAGCATTACTGGCACTGTTTGTGCTCATAGTGAGGCTCACTCTGATTCTTATTTTAATGATTGAAAGTATTTATTTTTTATAGTATATCGTGTACAATATATTTATAAAAATAAGTTAATTGAATAACGATAACCCTTTAATCGAAACATATTTATAATCAATATTATATTTAAAATAACACTTACTATTCATTTTTATCGATACAAATGTGTTTTGATGAAAGAGTTACTGTTGTCAGATCAACTTAATTATTTATAGATATGTTTTTCATGGTATACGCTAAAAAATAAATAGTTCGAATTATCAATATAAGATTCGGAGTGAGCCTCAAAGCGTGCACAATAGTGCCCGCATGCTAGATGCACAATAGGCACCCGAATTCCCTATTTAACCTATTGTGATGTTAGAAATATCAAATTTTTTACCAAACAAATGACCATAATAATAATGGACACTGCTAAACATTTATTAGCATTTTTCTTAACCACATCTTATCAAATACCCAGAGACATTTATTAGCATTAACCATAATAATAATGAGCATTGCTAGACATTGGCTTCTTTTACTAGTATATATATTCGAACCACACACATTCCCATTCCCATTCCCATTCCCATTCCCATGTGTATTGAGGTCTCAAAATCATTCTTGTGACAGAAGTCTATTGTCTTTCAGGTATTTGTTTATGATTTATGGCATTATAATTTTTTCCTAGTTAATAATTTGTTATTTTTTAATAGAAATTTCTATAACTTCCTTCAAATGTAAAAATGTTTTAGTCTGAATTCCAAATTAGAGAGTGAAAAATTAAATAAATGTTTGTCATTCAATCAAGCAAAGCTGCATTTCACAACATCTCTCCCTATAAGTATATTTTGTTAACAGAAAACAGTGTTAATTCATGCTTAATAGTTGTAAAATTAGTATATTTCAATCCATTTTGACTAAACTCAAAAAATTAAAATTAAAAAAATAAAATTAAAAATAAAAATTTATTGTATTTTCCTTCAATTACTTACAAATAATATACATTATTCCCACTTGCATTTTTTTTATATGGCAATCATTACTTTAAACAAATTATGCCTTGATTTTTGTACGTGGGTTTGTAAATTTACTCAATATTTCCTGTTTAATTTGTCTGTCCATTTTCATTGTCATTTGGTTTACTTTGGTTTACTTTGGTTTACTTTGGTTTACTTTGGTTTACTTTGGTTTACTTTGGTTTACTTTGGTTTACTTTGGTTTACTTTGGTTTACTTTGGTTTACTTTGGTTTACTTTGGTTTACTTTGGTTTACTTTGGTTTACTTTGGTTTACTTTGGTTTACTTTGGTTTACTTTGGTTTACTTTGGTTTAGCAGTTTGAGTTATCTTTTTTACTTTCTTCATAATAGAATATTGCTAACCATTATGCTCTATTTTTGGTTCATTAAAATGAATTGTAATTCCATAGACTTTCATATGGAATGGCTATTTATTTAAAATTGTGAAAGGTAATTCTATTTATAATGCGTTTGTTATTATTTTTTTTAATCAAACAAATGAATGAATATTTTGATGGAATGATAATTTCATTCCACTTTAATCATTCCAATGAATGAAACACTACCTAAGGAGTTGGTTTGGTGGTCAAGGTCCGGGAAATGGGGATGTGCTCTCTCTATGCTCTTAAGTTCAAAATCTTCTTGCCCCAAACAATTTTTTGGGTTAGTCCATACTTTAATTGGACTATCTGTTAGTAAACGGTGAGATTGGTGGTTACCAAGTTATAAAAAATAAATAAATAATAATGTTCTCTCGCACTTTTATTAAAACAAATTTAAGAAATTGATTTACAAAAACAAATTTTACATAAATAATTTAATTAAAATAATATGATAATGACATTTTAAAATAATAAGTTACTTTGATAAGAATCTAATTTAAAATGAATTTTCCTATATTATAAATTTATCACCTCATTGGTATAATTTTTCTCGATAAAAAACCCAATGGTTAGCCATCAATCCAGTCAAATTGATATTTTCAGTTTTCAACTAAAATTAAATTGGAGTAATGAAAGAGATTTAGCCTTTAATTCATTAATTCTTTTCATTGGAAATAAATTTAATTATTATATTTTTAAGGGTATTTTTTTTTTTTTGGGTCAATATATAAGAGAGATATTTACAACCAATCTATCAAGCCCAACTTCTCTATCGAAATTGAAGTAGTGACGTCTATACAACTATTCGATTAAATATCCTAATTTAATTTTACGAATCTTAAACATTTTCCTTTGTATAATAGGGTTGGCGTATGTCTCAGGTACAAGGATACTCATTGTTCACAGATTCACGATTTCGATATGATTCTAATTTAATGCCAAACATAGGTGTCGTTTGTTTTTTTTTTCCACATTACATAAAAAAACAAAGGATAAACTACAATTTTAGCCTATAAAATATAGATTCATTGTCATTTTGGTCCCTTAATTTTTAATTTTGTCAATCAACTAGGCCTTACCTAATTAACCACCATAACTTTCTTACCTGGGGGAGGTTATTAAAGAAACTACACTGAAAACTTAAAAAAATAATTACAAAAATATGGTTTCTCTTCAAAATTGTCAATTTGAGTTAAATTAATATAATTTCAAAACGGATGTTTAAATTGTTAAGAAAAAATAATTATAAATTTTACTATGGTCCTAAAAATGTATATTTTGTGTCATGTTGGTCTCTCAAGTATCAATTTTATTAATTTCGTCCTTTAATATTGTATGGTTATGTTTTATTTTCTTCATTAATGTTTCATGACCAAATTGACAAAATTAAAAACTTCCAGGACCAAAGTGATACGAGTAACAAGAAACACAAATTTTAAAGAACATGTGTGTATTTTATTACCATTCCGTTAGCTATTTAGAAGGTACGCTTAGAATTGGAACAAATTGACTCAAATTGAAATTTCAATAATGAAATTGACAAAATTAAAACTTGAAGAATCAAAATGACAATAAATGCATACTTTAAGGACTATTAATATATTTTGTTCAAAAATAAAATATGTGAACCTTATGTGTATAGATATAGTCCGACTGTAATTTCATTAATTGCCTTAAATAATTATAGCATGATTGTTGTGATATTTTATCACTAACTACCTTGTTTTTTTATTATTTTCCAGATCATCCCATGGACTTACATGCTATTGTATTATTTCTGTGTGTATGCTCTCACCTTGTGGGACACAATGGAATTGAAGGAGACTGGAGGAGTTTAACTAAAGAGGAAGATTTGGAGTTGGAGGAGCAACTTAAGCATCTCAACAAGCCAGCAGTCAAGACTATACAAGTATTTATTCTCAACTATTATTAGAAACATTTAGACTGCGTTTGGATCACTAATTTAGATAGAGAAATGGAATAGTTAGGTAAAGTATAATTACATTTGATTCACTTTTCACTCATGTTTTCTATTTCCCTTTTCAAACTCATATATAAATTTAAAATCCAAACACAGTCTTAATTCAATTTTGCTATGTTTGTTTCATGGGAGTAAATTATATTTGATTAATAGACTTGCTATAATTGATGTTGATATTATCAATTGCATATTGTATCCCAGTTTGAAATGTTCCTGGATTGGGAAATTGGTAAAATCTTATCATAGCCCATGTTTGTCCGGAATCACACTAGACATACAGACATAGTGTAATCACCATAATGGGAGAATATTTTGGTGTTTTTACTAATGCAGACCCTTCTTAATCTCTCATCTGTATCTCATCACCTTATAGAGATCAATAATCAGTCATATCCCATACCTAATGTCTTATTTTGTATCTACCTCTTATGGAACTTAATAATCACCATATAGAGGATATATAGGGACAATCCCAAAACAAACACAATCTCGATGTACGGCATGGGATCCTTTTGTCTCCAATGTGGAATGAATTAAATTTATATCAAATTAACAATAAAATATTAAACTAATTTTTTAAATCAAAAGTTATTTATTGGGTTAAAAAAATCTATCTCTTCAATTTTAAATCGGAACATAAAGTTGTTGACATCAACAAACTATTGTCTCAAATATAATAAATAAAAATTTAAGTTGAGCCGGTTTCCTAGGATGTCCTGGGACTAGTTTCGAGGACATTCAATTCCAATATTGTCTAGTTAAATTTTCTATGAAAATCAAATGGCAAAGATTAATAGGCATCTTAGGCCTAATATCATGGATGTCTTGAATTGCAACATCTAATTTGATGTTCTGAACTTGAGAATACAGAATATGGTATTATTATTTTTGCACAAAATTTTGAACAACCTTTCATGAATTGAACAATTGTATATAAAAATTAACAGAAAGATTGTAACATTTACAGAATAATTATGGAGATATATATGATTGCGTGGATTTCTACAAACAGCCTGCATTTGATCATCCTTTACTGAAGAACCACACTTTTCATTTTCAGGTTTGTCTCCGTACATCATCTTATCTCCAACACATAATTGAAGGCTATTTAATTATTTATTCAACACTCTATGAGCACAAAATAAATCACAGAACACTATAGTTCGCACAATAGGTGATGGGATTATTGCACATCCTAAATTCAAATGGAAGCACATCCATATGCACACACTAAAGAGGAAAAATCACAAAGATTTGCATACAAAAGAGAAATATACTATGAATCATAGCGAGTACAACAATGAAACCAAAAACCTTTAAAATCTGACACCAATACCGAAGTCTTGAAACTCTGCCCATTTCCCTACTTAATATTAACTGATTCTAGAAGTTACACATGCTTACTTACTCATTATTGTTGTCTCCAGAATTTTTTCATGTCCCCTACATCTTTACAAAACCTCTCAATCTCACACCTCTACAATACTTCTTTTTATTGGCAAAGGGAATAAGTGTATTGATCAAATCCAATAGATAAAATATAATTTTGGGACAAGCATCAATAAAAGAGAGGAGATTGTAGAGAAGATTCATATTTGTAGGCAAACCATAGAAATGTTAGTCCCATACAATTAATAAAACCCTACACATTGAATTACTAGTGAACTCTTGATTTCACAACCTAACACAAAATACAATATGGATCTTACAAAATTTGATACACACCCAACACTAATAACTTTATGGGGCTCATAGAAAACAAGACATGCACGAACCCAACAATAGAAGCCAACTCTTTTGAATTTTTTGTAATCCATTATGTGATCAATTTATGTGCAAGTCTCCTTTACCTTTTTCGAATTGAGTTGAATTGCAGATGAAGCCCACTTCATCACCCAATGGATCAAGACATCAAGTTTCCTCAGAAGATAGCAAACCTCTACATGTAGGACTAAAGGGTGGAGGTTGCCCGGTTGGAACAGTTCCAATTAAAAGAACTACTAAAGAAGATCTCATTAGAGAGAAACTTGCTTCAAAAATAATGACTCCTGCAGATGACACCGGTGGTGCTGATGTAAGTTATCCTAGTCAATCAAGATTATATAGCTTCACAATACTAGTTTTGCACTATTGCTTGTTTTCTATATTTGGTTTTATTTGTTTCTATGAATCACCTTCTTGAATGAGCTGTCAACACACACAGAGAACACTCTAGCCACATTTTTTGATCCTATAAATTGATTTTAGTCCTCATTTTTTGAAGCAATGTTTAGCCTCATCTTGTTGAAAGTTTTAGGCAAACTTTTGATAATAATTTTACTTGTAGATGTGATTGTTTACATGGCTTGAATCTGCACAACCAAAAACACTAAACATTAAATCTTACAGTTAGGGCACAATGCGTTATTTGAATGAAAAGAGGGGGAAAAAATCAACAAAAAAAAGTAAGCGCATGCATATATATACTTGTGTTGGGTTGGGTTTCCCTCGTATGTGGATGATGGCCTAAATAGTCAGTAAAGCCCATGTGAGTCTCAAGCCTACATGGAGAGATTATGGTAGCATTTGGTTTACTTTTCAAAACTCAACTCTATTTGTAAATCATGATTTGAATGCAACATGTTAACCAAACATATTTTTAAAATACAACTC